CCTTGTTTCTCTATGATGTTCATTTTTCTCTAGATTTCTCTAGTTTGAACTCTGAGAAATTTCAATTTTCTCTAGGTTTGAGAAGTCCAGAATTTTTCAATTTTCTCTGGTTTGAAACCACCACTCAAACCAATTTTATCTGGTTTTGAACCACCACTCAGACTACCACTGCATTCATCAAAGGCAGTGGTAGAGATATCAAAGATGAATTACAATTTTGCTGTGTACCATTGTTGCTATTGAAGAAGCTTGAATGGAATTGTAGTGGTTGTATTGAAATGGATTTAATGTGGGTTTTAAAGGGATTTTCTTTGGTTCGGTCAGAAATTCTAATCTAGAGAAAATTCTCTCAACCACATTAACAAATAACATTGAACCTAGTACTAAAACATCAGAGAAATTCTCTAGTCTTTCCAGAATTTCTCTGGATCAGAATTTTCTCTGGATGTGGAATTTGTGTGAATTTTCTCTGGATTTCTGATTTTGTATTATAGTTTTGCTATGTGCCATTATTGCTATTGAAGGAACTTGAATTGAATTGCAGTGGTTGTATTGAAATGGATTTAATGTGGGTTTTAAAGGGCTTTCATGGTACTGCTACAGCTGCTTATTTGATGAAGAAAGAAGATGATGATGATGATGATGATGATAAAGAAGGCTATCAAAGAATTTCTCTGGAGTGGTTTAAATTTTCTCTAGATCAGGTAAGAACAATGTACAAAAATTTTGAATTTCTCTGGAGTGGTTTGAATTTTCTCTGGATTAGGTAAGAACAAAGTAGAGAAATTTGGAAGCCTTGTGAATGCACCTTGCAATAAATTACAGATTTATAGTCTAGAGAAATTCTCAACAATTCAAATTTATAGTCCGGAGAAATTCTCAATAATAATGAAGCCTTGTGAACCAGAATTTTTCTGTGAAGTCCAGAGAAAATTCGACCAAAGAAATTCTCTGTGAACTAGAATTTCTCTGTGAAGTCTAGAGAAAATTCGTCCAGATGATTGATGTTGAGGGACCTTAGACATTATGAAAATATTGAATGTCATTTATGTTATAAAATCTTAAAACCAGGGACCTTAAAAAAAATCTCAAAAAAAAAAAATCCAAAATAAAGTTGGGTACATATAATAAAATAAATTTTGATTTTTTTATTTTGTCGGTTTAAATTATATTCTTTTGATTTGTTTTGAATCTAAATCATTTGTGTATTTTTTAATTAAAATTAATGAAAAAAAAGTATTGTAATCACTAAACTTAATATAGATGTACATAAAATATATAATTTTTTTTTTAATTTAATGGCTAAAATATTTTTTTTGTCGGTATACTTGAGGAAAATATGCAAATGATTTTAGATTGAAAAAAAAATTAAATATTAAAAACTCTAAATTTTGTATAATTTTCTCCTTTTTTAAGTTTGAATTTAAATTTAATAAAATTGTTACTATACCACAAATTTTCAAATAGTGCATTTTATAAAATTTTCTTCATATATCATCAGTGAAAAAGCTAACTCAATCTAATATAAATAAAAGTTTAAAATAATCCTTTTATTTCTTTATATCTTTGTTGTGGCTTATTTTGAGAACTTGACTAAAAGTCAACTTTTAACTTTTATAGATTACATTACCTCTCTATTTTTTTACATATTTTTTTTAAAAGAAATCAAAAAAATTTTAAAATCAACTTTTAAACTATTTTCAAAATAAGTCTTTTAATCACCAGCCAATCCAAAAATAGAGTTTTTTTTTAAATATTCCCCCCAAAAAAAATTTAATTAGAGAATTGACCCACTTTTCAAACTATTTAGAAAACTAACCTACTTTTTGAAATCGCATTTTCAAAATGCGATTTTGTTTTAAAAGAAATCAAAAAAATTTTAAAATCAACTTTTAAACTATTTTCAAAATAAGTCTTTTAATCACCAGCCAATCCAAAAATAGAGTTTTTTTTTAAATATTCCCCCCAAAAAAAATTTAATTAGAGAATTGACCCACTTTTCAAACTATTTATAAAACTAACCTGTTTTTTGAAATCGCATTTTCAAAATGCGATTTTGAAATTGAAATTGCATCTTCAACATGCAATTTCACTTTAAAATTGCAAGTTGAAAATGCAATTTATGATGACATGGTGAAATTGCATGTTCAACATGTGATTTCAATTGAAATTGCATTTTTAACATGCGATTTCAAGGTGAAATTGCATGTTGAAAATGTAATTTCAATTTCAGAATCGCATTTTCAAAATACGATTTAAAAAGCAGGTTAGTTTTCCAAATAGTTTAAAAAGTGAGTCAATTCTCTAATTTATTTATTTTTTTAGAATATTTCAAAAAAAAAAAAAACTCCCAAAAATAACCATCACCATTCCCTCCATTCCTCCTAAGAAATAAGAAGAGGAAAGAGGAAAGAGGAAAGTAATTTTGAGAGTATATAAAAAATCACATCACGTTTTTTAGTAGAGTAAATTGGTGATAAATTTAATTTAGAGAGTGTCTAAGACATGAAGTCTAATAAAAAAAAATTGTTGATGAAAGGTCCACCATTTGTGAAGTAATTTGGTGAGAAGTTTTGTTGTTGGTTTTGAAGAACAGTTTATTTTCAATTTTACCCTTTAATTTATCTGTGGACTTTTTTTAATCTGTTAACTTTTGTTAAGTATCTATTCAAAAAATTTCCCTACCTGTTGAAAATTTTTCTTATATGTTTAAAAATTTTCCTTCAAATTTTTTACCCTTATTTGTACAAATATCTGTCCAAATTTTATTATCTATTCAATTCTTTCACTTATCTGTTTAAAACTATTTGTTCAATTTTTTATCTGTTTAAATTGCTGAGATTTTTGGAGTAAAAAAAGCAAAGGAAAACTTGATTTCTAAAGCAGCATCCCTTTTGATGCTCTTTTTATACAATATGCTTTCTCTTTTTCTTTTTCTTTTTCTTTTTTTATAATAAAAGAAATGAGATTTAGTAAAATTGAATATCTTTCTTGACTGAAATGTGAAAGAACTATAATCAAAGGGTCTCACAAGTTAGGATACTATTGAAATTAGTTGGATACTTGAAGAGTGCAAGAATTAACAGTCATACTCTACTAGTTATGAGGAGTATATTGTTATCCAAATCCATCAAATTCAAATCTTCATCAAATTATTGTTCAAGGAAATGATGATTTTGATCCCTCATTGTGTTCCAAACCCTCATGTTTCAACATATATATGTATGTATATATGTATATATAGAGAGAGAGAGAGAGGTTGATTACCAGCAAAATGTGGTAAATATGAGATAGATCTGAGAGAGAGAGAGAGAGAGAGAGAGAGAGGAGATTTACCAGATTTGAGATCTGTTGAATCAAATTCTGGAGCCCTCACATCTTAGATCATCGGCGCCGTCTTCGTCATCCGAGAAAGGTACGAAGATGGTGAAGACGGGTCTATTTTCAACATCGCGTCTTTAGTCCCGTAGGAGGCAGCGCAGTGGTGGAGGCGTTGCTGCCGGAGGCGGCAGATGAGAGATAAAGAGAGATTGAGGGAGAGATTTAAGAGTGAGAAACAGAGATAAGAAGGGGTTTGGTGGGGGATATTTTGGTCATTTTACTAGAGTTTGGCCTTATAGCCGTTTCTTGTTTTGAAAAGTTGGTTAAAAATTGACTTTTTAATTTTTTTTGAAAAAATATGTAAAAAAGTAAAGAGGTGATATGATCTAAAATAAATTAAAAGTCACGTTCTCAAATTGATCCATAATGTTTTAGAGTGTAGACTTTTAAAAAAATAAATAAATATAAATTTATAGACCGAGTGTCGTTTATTGACTCTAAAGGTAAAATATTATTTACTCTTATATTTTACACTCTTATACTTTATATCAACTTTTATTTAATTTTTATGTTTTTAATTGTAAGAATTAACTTTTATATTTAAAATCAAATTTTAATATCACCAAAATTGTTAACATCCGTTAGAAAGAATAAATAAGGGTTTTTGTGAAGTTACTATTTTAGTAGATTATTTTATTTTTTTGACTATTTTAATATGTTAAAATTTTTATTTGGAAAGATTATTAAATTTTTTTGTACTTGAATGAGATGCTTGTGAGAAAAAAAAAATGAAATGATTATAGATTTGAGAGTTGTTTGGGATAAACTTATAAAGACAAAAAGTCAAAAAATTATTAAAAAAAACTAAAAATCCTATACTATTCAAGGATAGCTTGTGGGGGAAACCACTAGGCCCTTTGAATTCAACTATCCAAAAAGTCAAAAAGTCAAAAGGGTGAAATGGTTATTTTGATTTTATTACGTATCTTCTCGTAAAAGTCAAAAAGGTATCCCAAACATACATATTTTTTTCTTTACTTTTTTAACTAAAACATCAAAAAGTACACTTATATAGCACATCCCAAACAACGTGAGTGTTTGGAAAGTGAGTTTTTATGTAGGTTTTTTTAGTTGTAGGATATTATTGGAGAAATTTTTTTTTTTTGTGTTTGGGAAGATAGTTGGGTTTTTTTTGTGGTTGGATGTGATGTTTGTGAGAACAAAAGTGAAATGATTATGGGGTTGGATGTGATATTTTGTTTGGATGTGTTTTTTTTTTTTATTTTGCAAAAAGTTTGTCTTTTTGTGAAAAAAATAAAAAAAACTCAAGTTCAAGACTTCCCAAACACCACCGTTGGGGCTAAAAAAATACGAAAGACAAAATAGACAAAATAAATCAATAAGACAAAATATTACATTCAAACTATAATCGTTTGTGTAACTTTTTTCTCCCCACAAAAGTTAAAAAAATCAAAAAAATCAACTCAAACAAATTTTTTAGTCTCAACTTCAAAAAGTCAATTTAAAAAGTTTTTACCAAGTGACAACTTTTACATTATTAATTCAATTCATGGGCTTCCCGTTGTAACTTTTTTGTTATCGAAGAGAGGTAAACCTAGCTCAAATGGAAGGAGAAAAAAAAATCCAAGTAAGTATTTACCAAAACAAACGGAGCATTATCAGGTTGTTCGGTCTAAATCAACCAACAATATCAAACTGTTTATTTCTTTCCAATTGAAGAGAACAGAAGCAAAAGAGCCTATTAAAAGATATATTGCAGACAAAGTAATGCTGATCTACAAGTAAAAGTGTAGAAAAAGTATTCTTCAGAGGCAGATCTAGAAAGAGGGGAGAGAGAGAGAGTAATGTACAGAATGAATGAAAGCATATACATCTATATAATAAGACACAATAGATTTTGAAAATGTATAAAATGTATGAGAGATACATTTGATATTAACGGTATAGATCTTCCAAACAAAAATAAACGACTGAGATGAAATTTTTCCCGTCCGTCTATCTGTCTCCCCTCTTTCATCTCTGCCCCCCTCTTTCATACATCCTCTTTCATACGCTCTTCTCTCTCTCTATTTCTCTTCTCTGCCTCTCCTCTCACGACGATACTGCCACTCACCGACTACAGACCACCTCTCCTCGCCTCTTGCTGACCTTTCTTCTCTCGACCACTGACTCTCTTTTCTCACCCTCCTCCTTCACTGACGCCTTGTCCCATTGCTGCCGACAATGAAGCTGTTCTTCATAAGGTAAAAAGCCCCAATAATAGATTTGAAGAAAGTTAGAAGGTTGTTAACTGCTAAATTACAGAAAGTTAGAAAGTTAATAAATTTATTTTAACAAGTTGAATTTGTTAAATTACAGACCTTGGCTTTCTGTAATTACAAGTTAAATTACAACAAGTTAAATTTGAATTTGTAGTTTAACTTTGTAATTTGAATTTGAATTTGTTAAAAGTTAAATTACAAAAAGTTAGGAAGTTAATAAAGTTAGAAATTTAGAAAGTTAGAAGGTTGTTAACTGCTAAATTAATGAAGAAAGAAAGTTTGAACAAAGTTAGAAAGTTAGAAGAAAGTTAGAAAGTTGGAAGGTTGCCGCAGGAAAGTTAGAAGAAACACCATATGTTGTTAACTGCTAAATTACAGAGAGAAGGTTGAGAAGCATTTGATTCCATGTGGGAAAAATATGAAACTTAGAGGAAATGAGTTATATTGGCATTCTGGAATTATTAGGAGTAATTTTAAACTTTATGACTTTAGAGATTTGAGTAAAAATTCAGGTAGTCCTCCAAAATTATAACTCATATACCCTTAGTTAGTTTCCTTTTATTTAATTTGTTCTTTATTACTTTCTAATTTTTCCTTGATACATTAAATTCATTTATAGAGTTCCAAAATACATTACTTTTTGAGTTAAAGATTGTTCATTTCACTATTGGATATAGTTTGAAAGTTGAAAACATTTCAAACCCATTTCACTCTCCCTTCACCGCCCAAAACCCATTTCATCAACATTGTTTCTCTCTCTTTCTTTGCCACAGTGGTTGTATTCAAACCGATTCATCATCATTGCTTCGGTGGTTCTTTGTTGCTTCATCGGCTCTTCGTTGATTCGGTGGATTCTTTTTGTGTTTTTCTATTCTTTCGTTCTTTTTTTCTTTATTTGGGAGTGGGGATTGGTAAGCTGTGATAAAAAATAAATTTAGTTTCAGCATTGCCTATTACTTTTTTGAGACCCTGTAAACAATTGTCCCCTTACTGTATGTTGTTCATTTGTTGTTTTATCCATTTAATTTTATTGCATCAGTTTAGTCTTATAGTTTATTTAGTTTAAATCAAAATTTTGTTTTTGTTGTGGCAGGGGGTTGGCTGTTGCCCATGAGCTAACCAAATGGATTCAAAAGGGGGTTGATTTGATATTTTGCTTATGGTCATATATTGCTTAACAAATATTTCAAATTTATTTAAGGTTGGAAGCAAAATGAATCTGAATAGGTGTAGGTGAAGATTGAAGAAGATGATGGAGTGTTACATACACAAAACTGATGGGACTAAACTGATATAATAAATGGGTTTAGAGTTCCAAGAAGAAAGAGTTGAAAAAAATAATACCCAAGAAAAATATGGATTGATTTTTTGTAAATTAATGTTTTTATGAGTCATTACTTTGTATCTGTATTGACAATGGGTTGTGTTTGTTGGTAGTGTTTCCATTGGGTAACCTATTATTATTGTGCAACAATGTTTGTGTTTAGTTTGAATTGGATGGTCTATGAAAAACCTTTTATTAGTGTGACAGTGCATGTATTTGTTTTGAATTGGGTAGTCTCTTTTAATTTTCATTTCTTTTTTGTATTTTACAGGTGGATGAAGACTAGAAGCAAATTGTAATATCGGCTCCCTTTTTAAAGGTCTACATTATTTTAAGTTTTTTTCTTATCTCTCTAAAGATTTTGTATTTATTGTTGTGGGAGTTAAAATATTGCTAGAGATGTCTAAACTAAACGTGCACTTTGTGCATACTTTGTCTAAAATATTGAAAGAGTGGCAATCTCCAGTGAGCAACAAATTGTGCATACTTTTTTCAATTTGTTTGAAAAGATATGATAATGTCTAGAAGTACATTTCTCTTTCATCTTTATCCTAAATAGCATTCTAAGTGGCACAGTTGTCTTAGTGGTTTAAATGAATTTTAATGTGTACTATTTGAATGTTGTTTTTATATATTTTTGAAGGGTGACACTTTTGCTAAGTAAATTTTAAATTTTCTACTTTATTCTTCATATTTTAACTAAAGGAATTTTTTTTCCAGAATCACATTTATTGGGGTTTAAAATAAATTTTGATTAATTTTTAAGTATGATCCAATATATTTCATATTTTCAAATCACTATAAAAGGAGCTTTTTACATTTTATTTCAATAGTTAATAATTTTAAGAATAATTGATTTTAAATGTCTACAAATTATTTTTTTATCAATACCTGAACTAACTGAATAAAAAATGTTCACAGTTATTAAATGAAAGGATTATAAAATAAAAATTGTGCCATAAATTATAAAGAAAAAAAATTCATATAAGATTTTTTCTTTGAGTTTAGATCACTTGAGTATTTGTTATTTTTTTGTGAGCTTTTGTTTTGTTTGTTTTTGTTTTTATAGAAAAATGAAGCTATTCAGAATATTGTAAAAATGTATAACAGTATCTAACATGTCATTATGGCCGCTACGGTACCGCTACGGCCGTAACATAACATCGAAACGGCCGTTACATATGAGAATTTCCGTCACACCGCTATGACGGCCGTAACAGGTTGCGGTAATTACCACAACCGTTACGTAACGGTTGCAGTCTCTTTTTAAAACCTTGAATGGGTGTTAAAACATGTCCACATATATTTCGGGCACTAAAATAAATCTTGGGTATTAATTTCAAGAGATGAACAAAATAAAATAAAATAAGACTATACTGAAAATTCATATAAGCATACATTTCTTACAATAAATCACTTTGCTTGGTTGAAGTTTTCTAAAAATACTTTTCAGAAAATTCTACTTTCTTCTTTTTCGTATTTTTTTGTTTTTACTGAGTTTTTTAAATATTTTAAGCAATTTTTTCAATTTTTAGACACACCTAACATAAATTCACTTAAAAAGTATAATTTTTGTGAAAAAAATCTTTAAAAAATTCACTAAATACCAAAAATAGAAAAATTTAGTATATTTTTCTTATTTTTGTGTATTTATTAATTTTTAAAAATATTTTTACACAAATGTTTTACTTTTTAGACACATCTAAGTAAGATGCATTTAAAAAAGTAAAAAAATACTTAAAATTTTAAAAAGTATTCACTAAAAACAAAAAAATACGAAAAACAAAAAATTCAATTTTCAAAAAACTTAATTCAAAAAACTCAAACCAAACACACAAAATAGGGATTGGCTTCCCTCTAGTCCGTGATCGGATTGGAGGGCACTATTGGGTTCGTGGGGGACCCACTACGGGTCCTATTTCAATAATTCGAACCGTTCAATGTGTAGAACTCGTCGAGTACTATATGCCTATAAAAAATAATGTTGATCGAATATCAATATCGGATCAGATTTCTATCAACCATTTTTTTTTTCACCGTCTATTTTTTTTATATACAAAACTGATTTGATCATGTAGCTATCGATATCAAATCAATGTGATTTTTTTATAGGCATATAGTACTCGATGAGTTCTACACATTAAATGGTTGAGATTATCAAAACGAGACCCGTGATAAACTCTCACAAGCCCAACAGCACCCTCTAGTCCGATCGCGAACTGGAGGGAAGCCAAATCCCACTAATAATGTTGTAAAAAGAGAATGTGAATTTTTTTTCAAAAATTAGTACCTTACCCCCTTCAGTATACGCGTTAGCAGGAACACCAAATGTCCTAGCTGATCCAAAGCCAGCTATCTTCACTGTGCTTTGACGACGATGATCTAACATCAAACTCCCAGGATTCAAACCTTGGTGGAGAATATTATGCGAATCACAATAATCGAGACCACTCAGAATCCCATGCAGAAAATCCTACCAAGAAAAAAATAAAAAATAAAAAAAAGAAGAAGAAAATGAATCATTACATAGAAACACTAGCATAGAATTCTAACATAGGAACACTAAGATGACATTAATTAGGCAATGTAGATTTTTCTTGAAAAATTAGATCATCTTGCATTGTTGCATGGCATTAAACAATTCCATTGTGTTTGTCATTTCATTAATTGTATTGTTTCCAGTTTTCGTCATTTCTAACTTTGCAATATAACAAAATTTAAGCAGTTACCTAAATTCATAGATTCTTCCAACTTCATGTTCTAAATTTATCCATAAACAATATGGATGATCATATATTAGATTTTTTGTAAAGCAACAACTCAACTTGTAAGCCATTGAAAAAGTCATAAATGGATAGTAATCATCACATGCTTTTGTTACGCTCGGCGTCTTGACAATCTCTGGAGAAGTATCCATAAACTTCCTCAGGTCAAGTTCCACATGCTCCGTAACAAGATGCACTGATCTCTCCTTGTTCACTACATCTAGCAACCTGTGACCAGAATTCCATCAATTAATATGTTTCGTCAAAATCCAAGATATTAAAAATAAAGCTAAAGGGTAATAAAAAAAAAAAAAAAGCAGATGATTCAAATTTTAGAATCCCGCTTTGTATTATGTAAAGGAGATTGTTATTTTTCAAACATACATCATATAATTTTTATTTGCCTCTCCAAGATCAACTAGACTATTTAAGGAGTACATACATGAGGATGTTCTTATGCTGCATCTCTCTCATAAAGGAGATTTCTCTGATTACTGAGCTTGGGACACCTTGTTCTCTATTGAGAAAACATTCCCGCCTCAAACAAACAATGTAACGCCCTCAAAATAATACATAAAACCCATCATTTTAGACATGCAATGATATAAGAGAAATCGATACATTTCCATTCATCAGAGTAGTTCTTACAACAGTAGTACATGTTAACAACAAAAGCAAATGCCGTACGGGCTTACAGCTTTCCAAGTCAACACTTGGTTACAAAAAGAAGAGTACTAACTCTATATAAAGAAAGCCCTTGGCTTGATATACATGTAATACAACAACAGTAATCACAAAAAGACGTTCCAGCCACTAAGCCTCCCAAGTTACGTTCTTGGAGATGGCATGCTACCTGTACCTGAAAATGATGTCCCATATGGGGTGAGCCAACGCCCAGTAGAGATATGCTAAACACGATATGAGCAATAACTAAGACATTAGCAGTTGATAAATGTTGACTCACATAAATCAATTCATACACCACCTTCATTACATGACCACAGTGTCCATGTTTCAGTTCATTTTCCATTTCTTATCCAATTTCCAATTCATTACCGTGGCTCAGAACCTGGCCGCACACTCTAAACGAAATAATAATTTATATTAAACGTTTCTCATTTCACAATAGATAAGAATACAAGCTGTATCAACACCTCTACAGATAAGCATATAAGCTACATCATTATTTCAATAGATAAGCATATGAGCTGTATCCACACTTCAACAGATAAGCATATGAGCTATATCAACACTTCCATAGATAAGCATATGAGCTATATCAACACATCAACTGACAAGCATGTGAGCTGTGTCAACGGAGTCCATCCCCTATCTCCTCCCAACAACATCCGATTTAGAGGTCTATCCCCTATCTTCCCCTAAACCGTGGAGTACATCCCACACAACACAACATATATATATATATACACAAAGGTCATATACATATTCAATAAATACATAAAGTTAATGTATTCTTTCATCCGTCAAACTCTTTGACATAACCAATTGATTAGTTTTAATTTGCCTAATCGTCATGCATTGTTTACAACAATCAAAACTACCCTCCACCAGTAGCCCAAAGCAATTATTTCTAAACAGATAATAAAAGCTCCAACAGATAAAATTACCAACATTTCCAAAAGTGAGCGATTAATAAATCCAACTTCACTATTTTACAATATGATGAACCAATTTCATTATTTCCAACTCAATTCCATATAATCACAATTTTCCGAAATTAATTATACCAATTAATTTATACAACAATTTAGGGTTTTCTACCCCATTTCCCAATATTGACCCAAGAGTCCAAATGTTCTCAACAAACACCAAAACCCTCATTTTGAAACCCAATACACATATTATGAGCCGAAACCACAAAACCCTATTTAATACATTTTGAAACCCTAAGTCCCAAAATCAACCATTTAAACAACAAGCTCAAAATCTAGGTTAAAACCCATAAGAGTGAGTAGGAATCCCTACCTCAAATTCGGAGACCAAGGGAAGAAGATGATGAAATTGAAGATGCTCCAAATCCCAAAATTTTCAGATTAAAAGATAGCCCTCGACGATCAACCCAGCTTCTACAAAGGCCCAAGGTGAGGAAATCACTCATACTGGATCAATCCTAAGAGAGAAGTTAGGGTTTTGGTGAGAGGAGCTCTCAAAATAGCTTTTTGGAAAAGTAAGAGAGAGAAAGAATGTTGAAAAATCATCCAAAAAGTCAGATCTCGATTTTAAATATATGTCGCCTTGCTCGAGCGTGGAAACCCCCGCTCGAGCATCACTCACAGACTCCCGCTCGAGCGTCCAAACTCCTGCTCGAGCGGCGGATACACACTCCCAGAATCTCGACATACCAGGTCCCCGCTCGAGCGTCCAACTCCTCGCTCGGGCGGCACACACAAACTCCCGCTCGAGCGTCCAAACGCCCGCTCGAGTGTCACCACTGCAGAGGAAAATATTGGAAGGGTGATTTTCCCGCTCGAGCATCAAAACCCCCCGCTCGAGCGGAGAAGCAACAAAAGGCCCCGCTCGAGCGTCAAAAGCTCTGCTCGAGCAGACAGGCCAAAACCTGGGCAACTACTTTTGGTTCTAAGCTCAACCAACCTGTTTCAAACCTGCCCAACACAGCCCAAGACTCAAATAGAAAGAGTAAAGGATGTAAACGAGATATACACAACAACCAACTCCACGGATCTTAAGTCCGGATACAACAATTAAAGAAAAGGGGAAACCAGGATCGCTATAACCTCCCCCCTTAAAGAACTTCGTCCCCGAAATTAAATGCGAGTTTTCAAAACAAGTTTTCTCCATTCCCAACAATATTACAACACAATATTACACAACCCGACCCATTACTGGTCAGTCTCATCTCTTTTCAAGAGGCAATTTACAACATTTAATTCAGTATGCATTATTAACATGCTTTTCCTTGAAATTCACCAATTTCAACACATTTTCCACAATTCCATAACACATTCAACATTAATATCATGCTTGCATTTCCACAGTTTACTTAAAACATACTTTCATAAACCAAAACATTTACAATGTTTTACAACTTAAGACATATATAATGCTCTTAAAGTTCAACAGTATTACAAAATTTCAATACATGATTACACATCAACAACCAAGTCCGGATATTTCTCACGGACCTCTAACTCACATTCCCAAATGGCTTTTTCAACTCCGTGATGCTTCCACGAAACCTTTACCAAGGGAATGGTCTTGCCTCGCAAGACTTGATCCCGCCTATCCAAGACCCGAACCGGTCTCTCTTCATACGAGGCATCCTCATCTACCTCCAAGTCGGTCCAATCCAACACATGGGACGGATCCGACTCATACTTCTGAAGCATACTCACATGAAACATGTTATGCACTCCGAACAACTGCGGTGGCAAAGCCAAACGATAAGCAACCTCCCCGATCCTCTCAAGGATCTCAAAGGGACCAATAAACCGAGGGGATACTTCCCATTCTTCCCAAACCTCATCAAACCTCGCCTCGGTGATATTTTCAAGAAAACATGATCACCTACCTCAAACGCCAAAGGCCTCCTCCTACAGTCGGCATAACTCTTTTGGCGACTCTGGGTTGTAACAAGCCTCCTACGGATAAGCTCAACTTTCTCCGTCATCTCTCTAACCAACTCCGAGCCCAACAAAGGTGCATCACCCACCTCGGCCCAACAAACTGGAGACCTACACGGTTGGCCATACAAGGCCTCAAACGGTGCCATATCGATACTAGACTGAAAACTGTTGTTGTAGGCAAACTCCACCAAGGGCAAGTGCCTCTCCCACATCCCACTAAAGTCAAGGACACAACCTCGAAGCATATCCTCAAGGATCTGAATAGTACACTCGGACTGCCCATCAGTCTGAGGATGATACGTCGTACTAAAGGTCAACTTAGTGCCCAAGGCACTCTGCAAACTCTGCCACAACCTAGCAGTAAAACGAGGATCTCTATCTGAGATGATCGTCACTGGGACCCCGTGCAATCTCACTATGTCCTGAATATACAAGTCGGCAAGATGATCTACCGAATCTCTCACGCGCATAGGGATAAAGTGCGCCGACTTAGTCAACCGATCTACAACCACCCAAACAGCATCACTACCCCACTGAGTCCTCGGAAGACCTACAACGAAGTCCATAGTGACATGCTCCCACTTCCACTCGGTAATAGGCAAGGGTTGCAACAAACCCACTAGCCTCTGATGCTCGGCCTTCACTTACTGACAAGTAAGGCACTTCGATACGAAAACCGCCACATCTCTCTTCATTTCCCGCCACCAGAATTGGTGACCCAAATCCCGATACATCTTAGTGCCTCCCGGATGCACCGCAAGGCGTGAATGATGAAACTCTTGGAGTACTTCCTCTCGGCAAGACTCCGGCACAAACAAACGGTCTCGGTATCTCACACTCAGGTCGGGATACACCATCAAACCCTTCTCAACCTTCCCACTGGAGATCGTCTCTCGGAGGTATTCTACCTCAAGGTCACCTCTCTGTGCCTCTAACACTCGTGTCACAAGTGTAGGCTATGCAACAACAGAAAACAAGGCCGCAGCCTCAATAGATTAGCCCAGGAGCAAATCAAACTCGCCAAGTGCACCCAACATCTCCTATTCCCAGATAGCTATACAAGCTACATCACTAATGGATTTCCTACTAAGGGCATCGGCCACTACATTGGCCTTTCCCGGGTGATAGTGCAACTCAAAATCGTAGTCCTCAATGAACTCCATCCACATTCTCTGCCTCAAATTCAAGTCCCTCTATGTAAACAGGTACTTCAAACTCTTATGGTCCGAGAACACCTCGAACCTCTCACCATAAAGGTAGTGCCTCCAAATCTACAAGGCAAAGATCACTGCTGCTAACTCTAGGTCGTGTGTAGGGTAATTCTTCTCGTGTATTTTCAATGACGTGAGCCATAGGCTACCACTTTCCCCTTTTGCATCAACACACAACCCAAACCCTCTCGTGAGGCATCACAATAAACTGCATAACCCAAACCTCTATCCGGAATAATCAAAACTGGAGCGGTGGTCAATCTAACTTTCAACTCCTGGAACGACTTTTCACAAGTCTCACTCTACACAAACTTGACCCCTTTCCGCATCAATCTAGTCAACGGCAAAGCTAGCCTGGAGAAATCTTTCACAAACCGACGGTAATACCCAGCTAATCCCAGAAAACTGCGGATCTCAAAAACACTCTTAGGCTGTGCCCAATCTTGCACTACCTCAACCTTGGATGTATCAACAAACACCCCTTCCCCGGATACCACATGGCCTAAGAATTTGACCTCTCCTAGCCAGAACTCACGTTTCTCAAACTTGGCATACAGCCTATGCGCTCTAAGCAACTCAAGCACCACTCTCAAGTGTTCCTCGTGCTCCTCCTAAGAAGGTGAATAAATCAGAATGTCGTCCACGAAAA